CTCTCTCTCTCTCTCTCTCTCTCTCTCTCTCTCTCTCTCTCTCTCTCGCTAACACACCTCGGGAGAAACACACCCGACACTTCAGATGAGAAATTAATTGCGTGTCGAGTCGCAGCGCACAAATCTCTGAGAAACGCCCCCCACACACACACACACCCCGCCAAATTGCATTTTAGTCCATCTCATCAGCGCTTCCAATGGGTAGGCAGTTCCACCAACAAGCCAAGCAGGAGATTTGCCAATTACCGAGAGGCTCTTTGCTAATAAATTATCATTTAAGAAATAAATTACGACGGTTATGCTGCTTTCAATCTCGACGCACAAATGAACGGCGAAACACACACACACACACACACACACACACACTCTCCCTGTGATAACATGAGAGATAGTCAAGGCGATTTTCTAGCAGGAGATAAAAAGCACTGCAGCGCTGGAATTCAATGCAAATCGATGTGACACTGATCTGAAAGAAATGGATTGTTATGTCGTCCCTTTATTGTACAAAGTGTGGCCTCGTGAAAGACGAGGTGAATGTGTTTGAGAGTGCACATTGTCAGCAGTTAGGACACAGCATTTTTCGCCCACTTAAGTTATTTGCAGACACCGATCCGCCGGTTATTTCTATAATTTTGCCTCAGTGGTAGCGCGTGTACAGTGTATTCCCTCCCCAAACAAGCTGCTCTAACTCCTCCCCAAGAACTCTCTGGCTAAATATTTCGGGCGAGAGATAACACAACGACGCATGCGCACGACTAAGGGATCGCCAATTAATTCCACGCACTTATGTCCGATGCCTGTTAATGAAAATGAAAAACTAATGTAATCCAAATGTGGTGGACCGTGGGCCTGTGTGCTTCTGCACTTCTTCTTCTCCAGCACTAGCAATGAATTACACAGATTGAAATGGTTATTTAGGAGGACTCGAGGCTGCAGAGGAGGACGTCAGTCAAAGAAGGTGCTGTTGGTTACTGAAGGAAAGAAATTGGCCTTGGAAGGCGTGGACGTTTGCTTTCAATTATATATTTGCGAGATCCCCCACCTCCCTGCGAGAGTGAACACATTTGAGATTTTCTTCCTTCGTGTGAGAATAAAAATGCGCGTGTGAGTGCAAGTGAGCGCGTGTTTGCACGCGTCGGTGTATGCGGGCTGTGCCGTTATTAATACAAGATAAGTTCGATATCTTTGAGACTCTTCTAGTCAAGTTGCAAGTAGAAAGACCTTGGGAGAAAAAACATCAAGCACCACTCCCTGAGACCTGGGTTTAAATAAAATATTAGGAATGTGCGCACACATCCTGCGTGTAAACACACTTTTCTGTTTGGTTGCTTAGGTGCTCTGGTTGTTCTCATACACTGTTGGTAGCTATAACTACGGAAAAGTAAAGCACTATAATTTGTGTATTACCCACAAAATAAATCTGGTATGTAATCCAAGTAACCGTGAGCCAGGTAGTATAAAGAGCAACAAAGTCTGAGAAAGTCTCTATCGGAAAGCTAAAGTAGAAAGCCATAAGTGTAAGGAATGGATTCAGCAGAACGTTTACCTGCTCTAATGTGAGATACGTATATATATCCCTGGGGCGGACCTGGTTCGTTTCGTTCTCCCACAACAAGAGAACCGCCCCTTGAAACTCCCCCACACGTTACAAAGTCACCATTACGAATCTGCCTGCTACTTCAGCACCATGGACAGCGAAATAGATTCATCAATTCACAGCACAGTCATACTTTCAGAGACGGCGGATGCACGGACATGAGCAGCATGAGAACACTTTTGGATCTTTTATACTAAGGGCGTGTTTTTGGAGGGAGGGGATTGCAGGTTAACCAGGGGGGGCATACATTAACAAGGGGGATGGCTTCCCACCTCATATCACCTATGGTCTGTATAACTAACTAGCTTACTAAACTACAGGTCCAAGAAACTACATTAGCTTAGTGAGGTTACAAAACCAGTTCACGACTAGCACATCCATCGGAGTGAAGGGTAACGTTAGCGCCTCTGTGCTGCTCTTTATTGGATTTGGGGAAGTTCGCACAGCCAACGTTACTCAAGATAGCGTTACGTTTGCCAAAACTTGCCGTTAAATCTGACGCATGGTTAAGTTGTAATGCTGTAAAGAATTAGCCATCATTACAGTACATCTCAGCCAACTAATATGCTGTAGTGTGATATTAATTTGGCAGATACAAACAGCTAATAACATAATAGAACAAAACACAAAGATACTATTGTAGTTCAAAAATGATATTTCTTTCTTGACACTGTAAGATGAGTTATGGGCTGTCTCCCTGTGAACATACTGAAAAACTTATTATCATTAGTAAAAATAATTTCACAACACCAACTAAATGTGACCATTTTGTGTAAGTGTCCTTCTTCACAGCATGGGCTTTCTAAAGGGACTGCACTGTGGTCTTTTCAGTGTCTTAGGAATTGAAATGTACAAGCAAACACTTCTGCCTTTCTCACCTTGAGAATGAGCGGCGACGTGGGCTTGAGCTCCAGTATCCCAGAGGCACTGAGCGGCTCAAACACGGGGTCGGGATAGTAGCTGAAGGTCTCGTTGACCACCACCAGAGCATTCACGTTGTCCATGTAGAACCCGATCTCATCCGGCCCCGTGCCGGTCTCGGAAAAACCCAGCTCCGAGTCGGCCACCGACGGAGCCAGGCACACCATGACGGAGTTGTTGTACACCGTACAGTTCTGAAAGCCAGAGAAAGGAGGTTTGTTGTCAAATCTATAGATGAGGAGGGAAAAAGACAACTCCGAGTTTGCATGCAACTATATGTACACTGAACTACGTATTTATTTTTATTATAATCTAGTTAATATCTATTTTACAAGAGAATGCCTTGCATACAACAGATAGCTCGGCCACCATTTGAATACTGAGCGTAAGTTCCTGCAGGCTATAATTCTATTTAAAAATAGATCTGTCGGCTATAATAACCCTTCCTTTATTTAAGTCAACGTGCTGTCAAACAGTGATGCTATTATACCTATTGGAAATGTAAATTAGTTGCAAATTTATGATCAACTGTTATTAATGGGCAATGTGCTCTGTTCCTTTACTTGTACGTGAGACTGTTTTACATCATTACTTTGGGGAAAATATATATTTGTGTGAAGTCATCTTTGCTACAATTTACAGGACTTTCTTTTTAGCACATTTTAGATCTTTTACTACAAATGTATTTTACATAGCCACCATGTGTTTTTGCATACAGAAGATAAGCTTATGAATAACTGCTTTATTGATACGGGATTCATAGCATTAATATAGCAGCAAAAAACTATTTCCTAAGTGAAGACATAGTCAAGCATTCAACTGCATTTCACAACAGTAATGATGCCACTTTGACAACAAAGAAGAAAAAGAAAAAGCAGACTTGATGTTAATTGTGATGGATTGTCTATCTGAAGCAAAGTTCAAGCACTCATGGAATGAATGAGAAAGGCTTTCTGGAGACCATGGTATGCTTTGGAAAAATGTCAGTATTCTTGTTTTGTAGTAAATGGGCGACAACATTAAAAAAACATCAGCCCGGTCCTTTAAGTGCAAAGTAGCACTTTGAGTCAGGGCTGTGTGGGATGCATCGTGTAGGCTGTTTGCCTCAATAAGCGGCAGCTTCATCTGCAAGTTGAATTGCCCCGGCATTGTTTGAAGTTCAGTTCTTAACCTTGACAACTGAAGAGCTTCAACTCACAGTGACAATCACCAAAGAGCTTTGTGAATCTATAGAACTGATGAAACATTTCAACTTTTCAAAATAAGACCTGGGGTTTTGCATGGATTTTTCTCCCCCTCTCATCGTCATTCCCCTAAACACTCTCCTGTCTCTCTCCCTGTCTCTCTCCCTGTCTCTCTCTCAGTCTCTCATGTGTTTTTTTTTGTGTGACACAAACACTCATGTGGTGCGGTGACATTTGAAAAGCTATGTGGCCTGAGGTAGCGTTAGATGTCTGAGGCAGTAGCTGCAGAGAGAGCAGACGTGAGCAACACACAGACACAAACTGTCTGCCGCCTTCACGGGCGCTGTAGAAGTAGTTGTCTGCAGATATTCTCCTGCATGCAGAGGAATATGTCTGAATAAATTGGCCAGTTGATGTATGTACTGTACGTGTAAAGATGAATAATGTATACTGTGTATACTGCCAGGGTGTGTTTGTGAATTCATATTTGCCAGTGTGTGTTCCTGCCTTTGCTGCCGTTGAACATTACTATGTTGTTTAGTCTCCGTGTGTGTGTGTGTGTGTGTGTGTGTGTGTGTGTGTGTGTGTCATTCGCATCAATACTCACATGAAAGGATTCCGCCTGCCCATACTTGGCCCTGATCTTTGGTTCTCGGATGGTTGCGAGGTTGGTCCCGCTCACCGTCAGCAGAGTCCCACCACTGCGGGGGAAGAAGGGAGGGGGAGAAGAAGAAACACATCGGTGATTGGTAGCAGCCAAATCTACCTGTAGAATGGACATTACTGTTGTGTGCATCTGCAGGAAGGGATGTGACAAATGTTCCCAAAGAACAGCCCCTGAAGTACTTTCCTTTTTCTTTTTGCTTTGCCAAAGCAGCAGTGTGGCAGAAAGGGACTGTGGTTAGGACTGTGGACTGTGGTAGCCTGTGGTTAGGTTTAGGCAACAACAGCACTTTGGTTGAGACCAGTGGTGTTGGGTTAAATGTTATCAAGTAAGGTATCGTGCTTGACTGCTGACTTTTTCTGTATTACAGTAAACCAAGACCAAGTGTGGTGAATGCCTCAATTGAACCACTAAAAAAAGTTGCATATTGCTGTAGGTGCTACGAGCAGAACGTATTGCAAGATCGCATATTTTGGCAAACAAACTAATGCAATATATTGTCAGTGAATAGTTCACTGATGCTGTCATTATCAAGACAGTATTTTGCTACTTGCTTGGTTAAATTACCAGATTTTCTCATGTGAAAATAAAAATGAACCCAGGTGGCATTTCATTTCACCCAAAACTTATTTTCATTTGCAAATTAGTTAGAAATGACGATAAGAAGAAGAGTTAACACTGGCATTTGCCGTTGTATGAAACTGTGTAGTTCAGAACTCCATGTGTGCGGCTAATAATAAAAAGTTTACAACAAAAAAAGTTTATTTTTAAAAAGAAAGTTGGACTCCAAGTGTATAGTGGAGAGCTCTGGGCATCGGGTAGGGCTCAGGGATTAACACTACACAGTATAATGGAGTTTACAGAGAAAACAAGGAGAGAATGCTGGAGCAAAGGTGTGAGAGAAAGAGAAAGAGTAAGAGGCAGTGAGTGAGGAGTGAGGAACTGAGTGAAGGGGAAAGATCCGCAGAGACACTCTACATACTTTAATCACAACTCCATCCACAGGAAGGATGTGCTTGCCGTGAGCCGGTGAAGGTCAACGGACTGAATCCAGCAAATAACAACGCTCGAACTGGGCTGAAGCCCCCGGGTTTTATTTTGTTGGTGAGCAGCGTGTGAGGGCAGACTCACACCCTCCTGGTGTAACAATGTCTGTATGGTTGGATCGATTCTTTGAAGAACATTTTTCTCATTGACTGAAACTTTTTTACACTTGTTGATTTGAATCAACGGCTGATTGGTTTTGCAAATTCTACTAGTCAAACATGCAAGTCTTTTTTAGAGTTCTGGGAATAGTTTAGGTACCCTTCAGTGGGATGCCATGTTGGTCTGAAACAAAATTATTGGTGGACCGGTTTCATTTTGATGAGCCCCCCGACCCACACACACAATGCAAGATTACTAGTGCTGAAAAAAGGATCACGAAGTTCAGGGGAAAAAATAGAGTCTTTACGATAGGAGGACTCTTGTAAAGACAATGGAGTTAGTCTTTCCTTTTTTACTGCAACACTTAAATTGGATTGATGGGGTTTTCATGAAAGATGTCTTACCTTGTTTTACAGTGGCAGCTACAACCTCTGAGTACCCTACTCTGTTTTATGCAAGGAGACGTTCACTGCTACCTCGACTATCGGTGCCCTCTGAGAAATGTCATTTGTAAGATTCCCTATTTCCTGAGGCTGTAGATTCACAGTAACCCGGTTTAAGAACGGCAGGAGGAAAAACTCCTTAGTTATCGGTGCAAAAACTCTGCTGAATTTGCACATGCAATGTATGATTTTAGAGATTATTATGTTGCAGTATTGTGTTCTGCATATTGTATGTACAGGTAACATTTTTGATCTTGTGCACCTCAGTGCAATTCAGGTTTCCCATCTGGGGCCAATAAAGTGACTGAACTGAACTATCGTGAGCCTCTGCAGGTGTCTCACTGCCTGAAGAAGGATATACTGTAGTCTCTCACACTGTTGTCTCAAATAATAAGGATGAAATAAAAATTTAAAAAAGTCCTACACAATATGCAGCTCCCCGAAGGCCCATTTGACACTCAAGCATTTTTTTAAAACATACAGTGGGCGCTGAGCGGGTATTTTGCGTCATGGTGAAGTTCGAAGTTCAAACACCCACGGCCGACACCCACGGTTCTGATATCTCCGTAGGCATCTAGCAGGCTGGATGTGGATGTGGAGTAAAACGCCTAATTCTCTGCTCAGAGATATTAAAGACAAGTGTTTTAAAGATCTACTTCCTCTGTTTCTTGGGTGTTTTCAGCGATGTCCGCTCTGTGCATGGGGTGCTGCCGAGGTAGGGAATGGTCCGTTGTCACTGCCATGACAATTAACTATTCTGTGGACTGATTCGCCTTTTGCCTTTTGCTGTGTTGTCCTATTGTATTGTGAGTATTGTGGAGCTGAACCAAAAAGTGTATTTCAAACATCTGAAAAAACAGACATCTGGCTATGTCCTGACTAATCATCTCTACAGACCTATAAACAGTGGAGTCCCAATAATATCTATGGGAGCCGGCCCTATAAAATGCTCTCCCTGTTCTTTATCCCCATTCTTTCAGTAGTCATGACCACTTGGATGGCTTTGAGTAAATCCTGCAAGTCTGCCTGTATTGCCTCCATGTGTAAGCGATGGACCTCCCCCATGAAGTGTCTCTTGGCCTTTCTTCCATTTGACACAAGCATCGGGAGTATTTTCACCACTTCTATGTGATGAGTGGTGACTCCACCAGTGACCCACTGCTTCTAAATGGTAGGATTATGAGGTGATGGCTGGAGCTGACAACCATTTCTATCCCTACACCAGTCAAGCTTAAGATGGGACATCGTACTACCTCCCTGAAAAGAAAGGCAGGACTTCCCTGTGGTAGTCAGAGTCATTACTAATTCAAGGGAAGCTCTAGGTCTCCCTGGAGGATCAGGTAACTGATCCAGGTGACATGTCTACAAGTTATTATAAAGGTCACACATGCAGACACAGTGACGAATAAGTTATGTTATAGCAACTTGCCACTCAGTGAGGCATTGGACGAAGCCTTCGTCCCCGGCTCGGCTTGCAGATAAGAGAGTACCCTCTCCAACCCTCCACCGCAGAAGGATAACATGTGTTACCATTGATCTCTGCAAAATGCAGGTGTCTTTTCATTGTCGACATCAATCCGACACTTATCCAGAAGGACTTTGTGTAAAAGCAGCGACAGCAGAGTAAGTGATATGGTGATATGAAGCAGAGACAAAGCCTCTTAATATCTTGGATGGAGAGTCTGGCTGGCTAACGCGAGACAATCATCTCTCACTCTAATCCAGGAAGACTTACAATAACAGCAAATGGTAACGATAGGGAGGGACAGGGGGAAAATAACAAAGATAGACGTACCATCTCTGGCATTGTTGGTAGCAGACAAAAGGATTCAAGTCTGGCTATTCTTCTAAGCAAGACTTTGTCTTTTTTCTTTTGGCAGGTTCCCCAATACTGGCATATGCGATCGGGTGCCATTTATCTGAGATTTCTTTGGATAACAGCATCATGTGTAAGATGTGACGGTAGCTGTTACTGGGGATATCAAGTCTTTGACGGGGATTTTGACAGCTGATGTAGGTGTTGCAGTATTTCTCTGCTTCTACTTACTATTCAAATTCTCTTTTTGTGAAACTGTATTCTTGTCACTTCTACTACAGCGCTGTTATCCTCAAGGGCCAAATTCAGATTAAGCAACTGGAAATGAGACACTTCAATTCACTATGGCTAAGTGACATGCAGTACTGCCATGATGTGCTGAAATTAACTTACTACAAAGTCCATTCTGTTAAGTAGAGTCTAATTAAAGTATAAGTTGTAATATTGTACAACTTCAACAACAAAATTACTTTTTTTTATGTTACACTTTGAAAGAAAATTAGATTTCTGATGTATCACAGCAAGGGAATGTACACCTGGACCTTTCTCATATATATATATATATAAATATAAATATATATATATATATATATATATATATATATATATATATATACACTTATTTTTAATCAGGCCCATATTGTTGCATAAGCAATGCTTCAATAGCTGTATGTTTAATACTGTAAACTGCGGTTGCTCATACATTAGCATGATATCACTGTGCTGTTTATAAGAGAGATGAAGGCGGCAGATTAACAAAGGAGCAATGGAGCTGAGGCCACATTCAAATGAACTGATTTTTAATAATGTTTGTGCTGCAAATGCATCATGGGACTGGGCAGACTGCATTTACTTTATAATGCTGCTTGTCCTCTGCCTCCTTTCTCCTCCTCCCCTCTCCTCCTCCGCTTGATGTATATTTGTGCTGAGTCCCTCTGTCCCCGTTGCTCCTCTCTTTGTCTAAGTGAGTCTCTTTAGCTCAGGTACATGCTTCAGGGAACCGACAACAAGACAATCAGGATGAACTCTCAGGGATAGCTGGGGAAATCCAACCAATGTTGTTAGGATTTCTCTCAGTCTGCCACCCTACCTTCTCTGGCCATCCCTGTCCTCTCTTTCTGTTTTACTGCTCTCTCTGCTTTCCTTTTTCTCACCCTCTCTTCGGTCTTATCCTTTACCCACTGACTGTATCATAACCATGTCATATAAAAAAAAGAAGTTTATTAAGTTTATTACATTTAACAGCAGAGGATGTTTAAAAACGTCCTTGCAAGTTCACCGTAACACTGGAAACACCAGTTGTGATTTCATCAAAAGGAAGAAGATTAGCTGGACATTCAACAGAATAAATAAAAAAGAATAAAGAATAAAAAACGTAGTAGTGGCTAACATAAATGAAAAATGTATTTGCACTGTTAACAAATAACAAACCGTCCTACTAATGCTGGTGGAGGGTCGGAGGATCCAAAATGGAGTACAAACGGTGTATGATTTGAATTAACAGCGTGAACAAAACGACCCATTGGTGACCATGCTAACAAGCATGCTAACTGAAGCTTGCTAACTGAAGCTAGTTAATTGACAGTTAGAAAGCTAGCTAGCATAAAGAGTTTTTTACCCACTTCAATAACTCTTTAGTGGATGAATTGGAAACCTGGAAACAAAATACCAGGAGGCAGTAAACGGCACAGTATAGAGAAAATAGAGAAGTATTCTGACTGACTATAGTGTTAACATGTTCCCAGCTTGCTAGCATGTTAGTCAAGAGTCTTCCAACTACATTAATTCACCAACTATCCCTGCTAATACGACTACGCAGTGCAACCAGTTGAATGGTTACCATTAAGCAACTGCACCGGAGTGGTAGGGCTATTTGGGGACTGTAATAGCTCGGTCTGTGGGAACTTGGCTCGGGAACCGGAGGGTGGTGGGTCACGTGTGGACTGGTATCTGAAGAGGTGATTTTTCACCTCTTGTGCACTGCCAAGGTGCCCTTGAGCAAGGGGCCAGACCCCCCACCATGTAGTAGCTGCCCATGGCTCTTAATACCAGGATGGGTTAAATGTAGAGGCTAAATTTCAATATGTGTGACAAATAAAGTTGATTTACTTACTGAAGGAGCGGCAAACCAAATACTATCTGCATTATTCATCCAGCCGGTTTGGGAGGAGATTTGAAAATATAGGTCTAAAATTGCTTCTCTAACCTCTACTGCTGCCCAAATATCTTTCCCTGGTGTCCCAGATGAGCGCTCCTCATTGATTTATTTTTGAAGTGCTCAGTCTTCTCCCTAAATGGAATATCATCAGCCAAGCATAATGATAATGCACTCTACCCCCTGCTTCTCACTGTCTTTCATCCACTCTTGCTATCATTAACCGAGCACAGTGATAATGCTATGCAGGCGCGCACGTATTGGGACAAAGGCAGACAATGAGGCAGATATGAACGAATTTGATACCACATCTCACTGGTTTGTTGTACTTTCTACATGAGCCAACATGTGACACCGTGACAGAGGGCAATGGCTGAAACGAGTCAGCTAAATTAAAGCTTCCACGAGCTGGAAGCGGCACACACAGGGTTGTCGCTGTTTGTGAGGTGCGTGTGTGTGTGTTGTGTTGTTTTGTGGCGTTCTCAGCCAGATGGAGCAGGGATCAGGGGCCAAACATCAGGGACTCTGGGAATCAGTGGGGTGTGTGCATGCAGGTGTCGTTTTTTTTTATCCGGGGTCATCACCCCTGAGTGAGCTTCCTGGAGTACAGCCCCAGTTTTGAGCGCCACAACACACACAAACACACACACACGAAAACACCCTCGCGGTGGGTGTGCGGTGCAGTGATTGGGCCTCAGCTGCTTCTCTGCTGGTCCTACTGGGCAAAAGGAGCAAAGCTGGATTCATCAACCCTCTTCTCTAACAAGCTCTGCATCTATCTGCCACCATCTAGTGATGAGTCACCATGGGGAAGAACGCAGACAGAAAGCAACACAGAAGGAAGGAAAAAAACAGGAGGAAAGAAAGTAACTGAGGGGAAACAGAGCAAGATAGCTGCCTGTTTTAATATCTTGCTATAAATTAGAAAGATGCAGGATATCAGCGAGAATACAGAACGTAAAAGCATACAGCAGGTGTTCTGACATATGTTAGACGGAATAGGCCTATTCAAACAGGTGGGTAACATAATACTGTGAACTCATTAATCTCGTCAGCATGTTAGGCACTGCCAAATCACAGGAGGTGGGTTTAACAGACGAAAACATTCTCCAGGAATCTCTTGACCTTCGTCACCAGCAGGCGTCCAGCTCCTAGAGATTCACTTTAAGATCCAAAATCCAGACAGGACCAGGCGACAACCTCTTTTTAATGGTGAAGCCAATGCAGAAGTGCCTTCAATTTGCATTCTTTCTAATGGCCAGCAGGGGGAGACTCCTCTCGTTGCAAAAAGAAGTCTGATTGTATAGAAGTCTATGAGAAAATGACTACTTCTCACTTGAACATTGTAAACATGAGTTTATGGTCTCAATCTCTAGTATTAAGTATTCTTTAATACATCTTGATGTTCATTCAGTAAATGATGGTCCCATTGAAAGTAAAATAGAAGATAAAGCAGGGAACGCTTTAGGACGTGGCTACCTTGTGACTGACAGGTCGTTAACATGTTTTCAGTTCATGAATGGTACTTGTAACATTTTTGTCGCCTAAAAATATCTTATTCAGTGTTCAGTTGTAATCAACCCTCTTGTGTCACACGTCTGGTTGCAAAATAAACAAGCTGGTGACGGCCAAAAACCAAGATGGCGACGGCCAAAATGGCGACGGCCAAAATGCCAAACAAACTGTGAAGTCACCCATTGGTCCTCAAACTAATGGGTGACTTCACAGTCACTACCTCTACTTCTTATATGCTGTCTACGGACAGGACAAAAATGAAGGCTAGGTACCAAAGATCAGTGGGTATTTGGGATTGTAAAAATACCGGGGTAGTGGGAGGAAAATCAAACGCATATGAGCCCCAGAGGGATCAAAATCATTGTCCAAATTAAGCAAGATTAAAATCAACCACACTAAACAACTAATTAAATAAAACCCAGTCCGAATGGGGCTTCAGAAAAGCCACTACAGTAAGGGCTAAGGTCACAAGTAACCCAAGTCTGCATCATAAAGACCAACATGTGTGTGCACGTGTTGGTCTGCCAGTAAATTTACTTTACTGGCAGACCAGAAGAGAAAGTCTTGTGTGTGTGTGTGTGTGTGTGTGTGTGTGTGTGTGTGTGTGTGTGTGTCCTCCTCATGTTCAATGCTGAGCGATGGAGGGTTTTTATTTATTCAGCTTGAGTTATACAGTACAGTACTGCATGACAGTTTGTGCTGAGTATCAAACTGAGACATGCACTAGTTCAGGCAGAGAACTGAAGTCTCACGCAGCTCATCAGTATTCGCTGCCTCTTCAATCACCGATCACATTCAAACAGTCAACCGGCTATATGATCTGACAAGTTAGCATTTCCAATTTTTTTTGGGATCAGGCAAGCTACCGCTGATGATTTACTCCACTGAAAATGTCTCGCTTGAGCCAGATGAAAAATATCCAGAGGCACCGTCTCCAAACTCGTCCAGCATTTCAGTCTGCTCAGACTACGTCGAGAACGCCTCCGTACATTTTGTCCTGCTAATGCTGCTGCATCCCAAGCAGTGGCGTAAAAAAGTCAAGGTCCAGGCTCGGATTTCCTCAAGCCACTAGGCTTTCAGAGCATCCACCTCCAAAAAACATTTTTGGTTTGAGGCATTTATTGAGCTCCCTTCAGGGACAAAGCTGCTTGGATGTATTTCAGTAACAACAGCCATGTGTTGCTCGAATGTTTCAAATACCCTGTTGTTTAGTGAGACGGTAATGTTGCCAAAAAAAGATACTGAGTGTCGGTTTGTCTGGAAGCCTTAGTTGGGCTACAAACGTGCATTGTGAACATAAATGGACTGAATACAACAAACGAATAAAACTACGTCATCCAGCGAAGTAAACGATAACACAACACAACCGCCTACCTGGCAATGCTCCAGTCAGGCTCGATCCTCAGCACCGTGGGGTCGTCGGTGTAGTTAAACTTGACCTCAGGGTTTCGCAGCTCAGCGTCGTCGATGTCCACAAAGACGGATGCACTGCCTGCTGCTAATCCGGCTGGTGTAACGCACACTATCTCCCGGGCGTTCCTCCTGGATGGACAGAACAAAAGGACAAGTTGGAGGAAGGCGATCCAATAATCAACGTGCATTTGACAGACAGCAGACAAAATCAGTGTCAACTCAGCGAAATGCTATACCTGCGCAAAGCCTTGTTGAACAGAAACTGGTGTGAGATGATATATGAAAGATATTGAGGTCCTGCTGTCTCACGGGAAGTTTTGAACAAATAGTGAGATCCGGGATACAAATACATAGAACATTGTGGAGAGAGTAACAGTGAAGTGATTTTATTTTGGAGAAAGAAACAATTCACAAATCAACCGAGAGAACAACAGAGAGAAGCCCTCAACAAAGAAGCTGTCACTTTAAAAAGAGAATTATAATAATAAAGAGGCAATGATTACTTTCTCGTGCCAGGACGTTCCCTAAATACTCAGGTCCAAGCTGAATCGCTGACATATTTAATGACTTGCTGAATGTTTTTGTTATTACCAGGCTCATAGCCTGGGAAGCCAATTAGTCTCATTCTCTTAAAATCATAATGTAACCTGCTAATTTCATTAGATAATCCCACTTGTGACCAATGCACTTCAGTCCGAGCAAGCCCTGCAAGATGGCCGCACTCTTCTGACCTGCTGGATCACGGCAATCACAGTTGTCTAATCGCAGTTGGAGCGTTTAATTGCAGCGGTGTGTGAACTCTGTGTCTGTCTCCAGCCTTGGGACCTCTCTCTCTCTCTCTCTTCCCCCCTGTATTTCTACATGGTCCTCCATCAAGGACAGGCGAAAATGACATTTCGCTCTGCATTGTGATCAGATCTCAATATGCAAATGAATTAGGCTAGGTGTGGGACATAAAATATGGCGGTTCCCGGGTGAAGGCAAGCACTGTCATGGATGGGCGTCATGTATTTTTAGGGCATGCTAGCTTTTGCTGGGCTTGCTTAAAATAGCAGGAAGAGGCTGAGCTAAGTATTCTTTCAACTTGCTGAGCGGATTGTTTTCTCAAGGATGTGTTCACTCTGTAAGGATCACATTCACACCTGGCGGAGATTCAGAACCTCCACATTTGGAGGTGGTCTGGATGATGTGATTGTAACCTGCATTTACACCTTGGATTAACATGCATTTTTCCTGATCTAAATAGTATATGTATGTATCATTTGCAAATGATGTATATACGTATGTACAGAGTAAGGCTGTATTTGATATATATATATATATATATCCAGTGCAAATTAGTTTTTTCTTTAATAAAAACAGAAAAAAGTTTTATTATAATATAATTATTTCACTTGTGCGACGACATTTTTAGTTTAGTTTGTGTCCAAATTTGCAAAGGACGTGACATAATAATAAACCTATATTATGAGTGGTATCACCCTTCCTCTTCAATATGTCTTTCTTATTAAAACAAATGTGATGTGTTTAGTGTTGGAAGAGAAGGATCTAGAAACAAGTCATGTGAAGTTAATACCTGACATGGATCAATGACACCGCTCACTGTGGGAGGGATGGAAAGAGTGTGTGTGTGTGTGTGTGTGTGTGTGTGTGTGTGTGTATGTGTGTGTGTGTGTGTGCGCGTATGTCCCATAGGCAAAATAACATTTTCAATTGCAGTCCCCAGTAGCTGCACTATCTAATATGTATTTAGCACAGTTGAGTGGTGGCTGCTTTTCTGGGCCATGACTTCTCAGAAGCGATGCGTGTGTGTGCGAGTGTGTGTGATGTGTATGTGCGTGTGCACACTTTAATGTATTGGCGCACATGCTTTTGTGCCTCTATGTGCCATGGCAGTCACACAGAGAGGGAGAAGAGAGAGAGAGAGAGAGAGAGAGAGAGAGAGAGAGAGAGAGAGGAGAGAGAAACCTACAATATCCATCCTCTCAAAGTCCCTTGGCCTGTAACCATAGCAACCCCATTCACAAAGAACACAGACCCGCAGCGACCTTCACAAGACGCCACAAACAGTGTTGGTGAGGGTGGGACGGATTAAGACGGGGTTGCGTTGAGTGGACAGTTTTGGTGAAGTGGAATCTGTTGAGGAGGCTGCAGCACAGGAGCGAGCGCTGCGACATCAAAGCTAGCATGTAGTTGCTACGATAGAGATTAGCTTTGAGAGGCTAATCCGTGCGTTTGACAAGCATGCAGCTGTAGTGATACTTTGGATGTTTTTCATGCACTAGATTAGAGAGAGCCTGTGTGAGGGAAGACAAAGACATGTTGTGTGTCTGCAAGCAACAAGCATGCACACACACTTCAACATGCTCACATGTGCACGTAATATCTAAGCAACAAGCATGCACACACACTTCAACATGCTCACATGTGCACGTAATATCTTTAAACAGAGCGTGTTTATGTACGCACGTATTTCCTTGATCCATTAATTTCCCGTATTATCTACAATAGCTTGAGTCATAATTATGAATTTGTTTTACTATCTTAAGTACTCTGTTTTTGTCTTATTCTTATCTAAATTATATTCCACTCTGTTGGGATGTTTCCAATTTCCCCACGAGGACAATTAAAATTTAATTCAGATTCTAAAAAGAAAACCCAATGGTGTCTTACTTTTTGAAGTAGCAGGGCTGCGGTCCTATGCTGACAGACACGTAGCTGCCCGCGTTCAGGTAGCTTCCCTCGATGGTGACCCGGGTGCCCCCGGAAATGGGCCCCTGAGATGGCTGGATGCGGCTGAAGAACGGAGTCTGGAGGAGAGAAGAGGACGTTTGTTTTTCTCCAGCAAATAATTAAAATTTTAAAAAAAGGACAGAAAGCTGTGATGGGATGCCTTGGATAAAATAATGCAATCACATGGTACACAATTGACATTTCTGCAAAAAAAATAAATAATGACAACAACAAGTCTATGATATAATAACACGGTATTGTTATAGGTAAAATCCACTAAGGCGATACTAAGCACTGACTGCTGCCACAGACGTACCGACTTTGCCTTTGTGTGCCCAACATATATTAAAAGCATTTGTGGCTGACCAAAGGAAAAACTTGATTAATCTGTGGTAACTTTAAAACTAAATACTAGAAATGAGCTTTTTAGAGCAATCTTCTTAAAGCCAATTTAAAAATTGAAGCCTTACATTTACTGGAGACATTTCACAGAAGCATCGTCCATATATAATAGCTTATAGACCTTTTGCATGCTGCTTACCACAAAGGTGAATGGCCTGGGAGACAGGGCTCTGTATTCGTTGACGCAGTCCCTCACACACACCTCAACCTGAGCTTCTTGGACCCTGTAGCTGGTGGCGTCGTTCAGCAGACACACTATTCTGTGGATGGAGAGTAGAAGGGACGGAGAAAAGGAGAGGGGTTAGGGTCAACCAAAGGATTTAAAGGGACAGTACACAAAATCAAAAATACACATGTTAACTGTAGTGCTATTGATCAATCAGTCTGCCTTTTCTTTCTACCGAACCGCAGGCCAGCACAGAAGGAAGTACGCATGTACTCAAGGACGAGGGGCTCGTGCTCGTGACCGCTGGCTCACCTGAGCTAGCTAAAGTTACAGCTCGGCCGAAGAGGACGCCATAACTGTTTACATCTCCTGCTGTCACGAGCGCGGGCCTCTTGTCCATGAGTAGATGTACCCTTCTGCTTCTGTGCGGTGATACGGTTGCCGGTTGTAGTTTGGTAGAAAGTAAATAGTTCCTGTGTGAAACTGCTCACAACGAGGTCTGTGGATTATCTTGAGACTGGGTCATGATTTTTTGACAAGAGACATTGCTGTTGAGTTTTTCAAATGCATTTTTCAGGCGCCACAAGCTGATTTCCGTCCATTACATTGGAGAGAAGGCAGACGGCAAAACATTACAGACTGATAAATAGCACTACAGGTAAGAGGAAGTTAACCACAACATCTCTGACATCTCATCAAATGCTGCTTCAGTCCATACATTTTTACATTTCTTTCAACACACCTCACAGTATGTGTTAACCAAGAGGTTTGCAACAAACTGTAGACAAGTGCAGTTTTCACCTGCAGTCATTATGTGCTTCAGGCTCAGCGAGATGGAATAAACGGCCAATCACATGACCACGTTACTCTTTGTACAACAATAAAATATCTGACACAAATATCTGTGTTTTAGGAGGGGTGACTGATAGAGAAGAAAAAAACAGGAAGATGATGCCTAGGAAGGATGGGAAGTTATAAACATCCATGTTTGAAGTGGTGCATGGATGACAGGAATAATGTGTAGAATAACTGATGGGTGTGTAATATTTGACTAGAGATGCCCTCTATCTCAACATGCATCGCTTCCCAACTAACTGCAGTACAGAGATTGTTTGATCTGCGTGAACTCAATTCCTCAGCCATGTAGGACCCTGCAGAGGAGTAAATGTCAGGATGAGAAAAATAAAGGAAAGAGCATATGTAGGGAGTAATGGAGGGGAACAACAGATGTAATTCACACACACACACACACACACACACACACAAAACACTAACATCACTATCTTTTCAGCTGCCGCATGAGGCTGCATGTGCAGCGACACACAAACAAAAAGTTTGAGTGTGTACCGCTGGACACTTGTCACCCACAACGGCAGCCATATTGGCTGTGTAGCGGTACGGGAGATTCCAGCAGCGGCTGCTGTTGCTCCTGTGAACACAGCACTACACTGTAAATGTGTTAAGAACCAGTATACTGTTGGCGGAAAGAAGGCCTTCAGTATTGTTTATTGGGTGAATTTAAATGGATAAATCTGTCTTGGTTAGCTAGCTAGCTAAAAATTACGATTCCGACTGTGGCAATCGAAATTTTAGATGTGTGCACAGCAGCCGTGTTCCATATGCCACTACACTACCCCGTCGAAATTCACCCACCATTCAAGTAAGTATGTAGTGTGAACTTCCACTGCACATTAACATGAACTAACGGAAAAGACGCAGCATTGGGGTGTGTGTGCTTGAACGCTCATGAGACTTGTCCTTTGTTCCTCAACTTACCTCTCTGCGCTCACGTACTCCTCCTCAATAGGCACGCAGGGTACCTTGCCCAGCCTGACCCCCATCTGGATGTCGCTGAACTGCAGACCCAGGTTCTCCCCCAGGATGGTCACCCTGGTTCCCCCTTGGCGAGGCCCCGTCTCCGGGAACAACTGGACCGACAAGAGGACAGAGGAAGGAGATTTAGTTCCCAAGTTAAAAAACGAAAAAGAGACAATATATTATATTCACACATGGATAAACACGCACACATTAAGGACACGGAATGTATCCACGGCTGCGTATGCTGACCCATTCAATCAGTTTAAAGTCTGAAAATGGACCCTGAACATGACACAGCACAGACACAAACAAACAAACACAGAAGGATAAAAAAAATAAAAAATACAACACGCACACACACACAGGCCATGCAGAGATGCCCATATCGGGTTATTTAAGTTTTAATGAAGAAAAATTACCCCCTTGGCTTTGAAAAACACTGAAAATGAGATAAAGAGAGGGAGAAACACAAAAATAACCCGGACCCAAAACAGGCACCAACCGAAGGCATCATCTTGGCGATTTAATTGAAACTTATTACGCCGGCTCGGCTGCAGCAGTGTAACGCTCAGTCGGGCCGCCGAACCATAATGTGATTTATCTAGCCAGATTATGGCGCGTAACGCGGACAGGTGTGGTGTGACAAAACAAATGTGGTGACTGATGGACGGCGGCTGTCACGGACACGCACACACACACACACACACACACACACACACACTATGGCGCGGCCGCGCACACACAAACCTAATCCCTAACAAGCATCACGAGGTAATTATGTGTAATCTGTCCATTGCCCCGCTCTCCTGCAGTGCTTGGCTGAGCAGACGGCGCAGGGTGGAAATGCAAACTAAGGCGCCGACAGTATGGAGGCATAGAGTTATTATGACACCACAGACGGCACCAAACAACAGACCTTGACAAATGGGGATTTCTACAGTGTGGACTAGTTTGGGGAATGAACAATTTGTCTTGCCAGAGACACACACACACACACACACACACACACACACACACACGTGATTTAACTCAAAACTTGTATGCAGAGAAAGTCAGCTGAGATTCAAACCCTTTCCAGGCACCCTGCTTCAGGTACCAACAGCCATACTGTTGCCCAATGTACAGCACCACTGGAGCAGCTGGAGGTTAAATGCCTTGCTCAAGGGCTCTTCATCCGTACTGACTCATAAATGGAAGAACAACATGCCTTGACTCTCTCCACATAAAACGTAACCAGAACATATGGAGTATCATTTTCCACAGAAATACAATTATAAGCGAAAATTTAAAAAATGAAAGCAGTTAAATGTAATGGAAAAGTGGGAAATAGAAAAATCGTAGTGCAAATGATCAAATTGAAAGCTTAAACGTGAGCGATTAGTGTGAAAATGACAATGGGGAATGATACAGGAAAACATAAGTAACAAAAGTGGAAAGTAATGAAAATTGAAAAGCTTAAACATAAATGTACAAATTAAAAGATTTGCCTGAAAGCCAGTTGTAACAAACTCAGTGAACGACATTAAATATCTTTTAAAAATTGATTATCTCCCACTCCCCATAGAAGCATGAAAAGAGGCTTTAACCATCTCGTATTTCTACAAACAAAAACGTATGCCATCAGAATAATCTAATCTGCCACGATCACATAAGCAACTACACATGGATACTTCATCTCTTCAAATGTCACAGATCGAATACCAAATGATTCTTTTAAATGAGCTAAACCTTTAATAGTATGACAAACTGCCAGACAAAGCACATTTTCGAAGCTCTCAGCAAAAACATAATACCTCCGGCATTACTTTAAATACACAACGACAGTCAGCGACATCAGTCGAAATGTGTTTAAGAGAAAGAGGTTGAACTGGAATATAATAATCCTGGTAATGTCTGAATATATGAAGAGCTGGGGTTTGAAAACTAATACCTTCCAAATAATCTGTAAAGCAACATCGTGACTGTAGTGAACTGAACTGAGAAACCAAGAGGGAGACTGTGCAAGAACAGTCTGGCCTGTGATAATGCTGCCCACTATTTGGAAGCTGACTCACGTTGGTACCTCAGGCGCCAGCAGAGCCTCAGCCATCGGTTCCACAAACACAATAGCTGGTAAACACTGACCACAGCGAAGTAGCCATCAAGCTCTAGGGTACGATATGGACAACAGATGTCAGGGTGGGGAAATGGGGCTTTCAGATGGTTTTGGAAGAATGAAGCTATGATACCACAAAACACAATATCAGCTAGCCACCAAGCCCTGGGACATAAACACTGGCAGAGCCAGAGACGGACAGGCAACAGAGGAAGAGGAGAGCTGTTAAAAAGGATTACTACCATCATCTGAAGGGGGGGGTACATCCATATTATACTTTATATGAGAACAGTTTTGAAGGGCCCACATTTCATTTAACCGGTAACCTGACGCGCCAGATGGTTTCTTCCAGAGAAGACGTCGTTGGAAAATGTTTGTGACAGGGAAGGCCCTTCCAAAAACTACTTAAGAGCTGGTTATTGGAAAAAACATCTGTCAGTCAAAGTCTTTGGCGAAGCCAGCCGGGAAAAGAGTGAAATAATCCTTTCCACTGAGAACAGCCTTTGCTCTTCTTTCAATGAAGATAGAACTGCATTTAGGCGAACCTTTTTAGGAGCTGCCAACGTTGTTTAGAACAAACAGTCGCCACTCCGTATCGAGTCACACACACACACCTAAGCCACTCACGTAGTTGCCAGTAGCTCCTCATGGGACGCTGATTGATCCGGATGCTGGTTGTCGGGACACAAAAGCGTTACTTGATTCTCAAGTGAATCTCGTGATATCGAGAGAATCCAGCCGACCGTTTGATCTGAAAGCTATCCTCGAATTGTAAACTGTGTAGTTGACATTTAATGGCCAGAATAGTGATACCAAATTCACTGAATCTGTTACCAAACGAAACAAGTCTTCCTATTGACCATCTGTCACTCCTCACCCATATTTGTGAGTGAACAGGTGAGGTTGCGATAGCTGGGGGCTATTTATATATATTTTGTGCCTCCACATGCATCCGGCAGGAGGGATCACGATGGAACTCTCGAAACATTTGAAATTGGGGAAGCACTGAGAAGAAAACAAAAAGATGCTGGATGCAACCTGGCTAACAAACTGTAAGACAACCAAAGGCAGAGGCCTCGCATACTTCACGAAGGAGACTTAAGTAAGCAATAACATTGCCTCTAATAAGCCACATTTTGATCTCTAGCTATGTACCTGAAACATGACCGCTGTGGTACAGAACGTGGAGCCAGACCACCACACCTCCTAGTTATTGGTTGTGTGCCATTTACATTTCATATGGAACCTCAGAAACTCTTGGAAGTATCAAAGTATGGCAACACATAACAAGACAACCAGTGCTCACTGAGCCTGTGGGCATGCAGGCAGACACCACAGTGTGGAATTGGGACCTCAAAGCAACTCTAGACTCATGTTGGAGTGATTTGACACAGCACCACCACATTCGAGCCCATAACCACCAGTCTCTGAGGAATGTAAAGTACAGATGCCCTGAAAGCTGGAAACAGACCTCAGGCAGTTTTGGCAGGATGGCGATCTGATACGACGCCACCACGTTCAAACCCTAACTGACAAGACTCCGGATGTAACTCAAAAGGAAAGCAGTTTGAGTTGTTCCTCGCGAGCAGCCGAACTGATCTAGGACTGAACTGACACACGGACCACAAATGCTTGCTAGCGCTGCCAGCTACTAGCCGCTAACCACCGCAACCTGGAGCAGGTCAGCTAAAAGACCGATGGTCAGACTGAATGGCCAATACATCACCACTCTGCCTCACGTTGCATTCCTGCTTAGCTGTTTTGTTGGTGAAAAGATTTGGACTTAGTGTACACATCCGGCTGCTCTGGCGTCATTTTCATTCAGTGTTAAGGCTACATTAGCCAGCACAGTTGGGGTAAGCTGAGCAATTTTGGAGAGAACCGCAGTTCAAATTGAGAAAGCGTGTTGTCTATGCAAAAAGGATGAATGATAAAAGGATTTCCCTTCACCCGTTTTCCAATTTTGAGACAACTCAGACCTGGAGAAGAAGTTTGGCTTTATATCAGTGTAGTCTATGGGGGGCTGTGCTTTGGAGGTGTCAATAAATTAAAAATGGATACCACTGACCAGGAATCCACTGGAGGTAAAGTAGTGTGGCGTCACTATGTGGTGGTGTAGACATAATATTGCAGCCCTAACCACAGGGTAGCCACATCAGATCATCGACATTAGAGCAGTGGTTTCCTAGTAGTCTGTCATCTAGCCTGTACACACATTTGTGTGTGTGTGTGTGTGTGTGTGTGTGCTGAAACATGGTAACCTTGCTGTGGTCTGAGCGGTAACCAATAGCACGTGAGCCATGGAAAGGCAACAGCTGTTAAAAACTGGGAAAGTTGTCCATGTGGTCAGAAAACAGTTTGGGAATTCTGTGGGAATGGTTCCATCAAACGGGGAGTGCGGGAAATGTGTGGGCCTTTTTTTCTTTCTTGAAACACTGCCTCAAACAAATGAATAATCTGTAGTTGTGATGTTTCAATATTTGTAAAATGTAGGAATGTTAAAATAGCAACTACATTTTCTCAAAATTAGATTTGAGGTGTTCGGAGAATATGACGTTATTAAAAGGTTCTTGCTTTCAATGGGATCCACAGGACTCGACAATTGCTGTCGTCAACCATTGTGAGAAATTAGCAAACAATTCTTGGCCTTCAAAGACTTTTTAACCATTAAAAAATAGGGACAGCAAACGGCAAAAACATGCACCCAGTCTCCTCAGCTGCAGAGGATTCAGCCGTATAAGCAGAATCAAGACGGACTGGAGGTCATCTCTGTAGGTTAGGGATGGTGGATGAGCTGATGTGTCACTTGAGGGATCCAGAATCCAAGACTTCAACGCTGAAGGGTCAATGGATATGTGGTGAGTATCAGCACAAAGGTCCAGACTACCAAACATTAAAAGGGAGAGAACGGATGAACAAGCAACCAGTTGTGTGCCCATTTTATGGTGTGTTCACATAATGAAATGTAAGCATCAGATTATCACATAACCAGCATCGGGTGGTTTAAAATAACCGATTCTTCACAAGCCCGTTCAAGTCAACAGAATGCCTGTTAAATGAAAAGCTCATGTGCTCATAACATACTCATAACGGCTGATCTGCTATGAAAAATACAAATAAAACTGTCCTGGAAGGTAATATAAACTAAACAGGGCAAACATGAATCCATGAATCAAGAGAATATAGACATCTGCTATTGATATCAATGTGTCTTTCCACCATAACTCTTCAGACATTCATTACTCCCAGCCTCACTCTACTTGTAGTATTATCACAATATAAAAACACATCCCTCTTACTCTCCCTTCTCCTTCTCGTGCCCTTGTGTGTGCACAGAAACACGCATGCAGACTCATGCACAGCCCTCGCCTTTGCTCATAAATGTAGATACTATTTTTCTTATTTCATTTTGTGAATGCATGTTTATTGCATGCATTCACAAACACAGATATTCACATGGACGGTGAGTATGTCGCTGTGCACAACCACTGTTAGACACCAAACAGCAGTAAGCAGCACCACTAACGAACAAGTTGTGTCGGAATAAAACCAGAAGAACTGCAGAAACCTGCATCTTCCCTTCACATTTACATAATTCTGTCATTTCTCACACATTTATGTAACTCTTTTATCTAGACCAAGTGATCTCGGTATAAAGCAACACACCTCTCTCTGTATGTATGTGTGTGCGTCCTTCGCATGCCTCAAGAACTGTTCATTCGATCTACTTCACACTGTGGATGTATCGCTGGGGACCCAACGACCTGCAGTGTCAAAGGTACGTATGTGCAGTTTGAACACTGGACACATTCAATATCTATAAACTTTGAACAAACAAGCGATAGCGCTCTGTGCAGCAGCGGGGGCGGGGCTTCAACGGACACGGCTCATTGACTGTCGTTCACTCACGTTACAACCGGACTCTTCTTTTCTTCTGGAGTGAACGAGCAATGAGCGCTGCAAGCAGAACTTATAGGGGTCAGGCAGCCGGCTCGCTCCGAACAGGCCCTGTACTAGCAGTTGTAAAGGATTTAACGTGTGTGACATTACCAGCCCTGCATGATGAAGAGTGAGATACTCAGAATCACACAACCATGAGTCAACACAAATTTGGTCTAAACCAAAGAAGTGACCTTACATTAATGATTTGACTTCTATCAAGAGAGAAAAAAACACAATATATTGAGATATGGTCAAAAGATTTGGATGAAAAAGTCTACTTTCTTAAGATATTCAGCTGATGTGTGTACAAGTAGACAGTCTTTAATGAGACTAATTGCTCTTAAAACAAATGAGAACAGATAAAACCAAGTGGGGAATGTCCTTAAGTGACACAGATTACACCACTGGTATCAAGATAATCATCTCATTCATTAAATGCTCATTTGAGCTGAAATCAAGCCTAAATATCTCATCCTATTCACAGCTTTTGTAGCTGCTACGGATATGAAATTAATTAGTTTCCATTGCCTTTTGTTAGACAATAACGCTTCTGAGAAGGGCTGTTGTTTATTACGTCTGTGACTAATACCCACTGAAAGTCACGACAGAAAGAAAGGCGGATAGGAAAAAGATCCAGAAACAAAAAAAGGAAAGAAACGATACAGATATGAATGATTGTAAAACGCATCTGACCAATGCTGGATTTCGACCCTTTGAGCCTTCCAAACACATCGATGCACAGAGAGACAGTGACATACAGAGATGAAGCAACCGAAAAGACGGTTCAAGAGCGAATCAAACCAAACAAACCTCTACGTGCTTCTCTCTCTCTGCGGAGTACCAGTGTGATGTAACAGTGAGTAATAATACCATGTCTGTGCCAAGGGCAGGCACAAGGTCCCAACAAGTGTGTGGCTTAATAGCGGCACATTAACATGGAGCTACTCGTTCCCGGTTCAGGACACGTAGGGCTTTCGTGACCACGGGGGCTTCGACAAAGAGAGCTGACGCAACGGCCTATCAAGGTCTACCAGCTTTGGATCTCCGCAGGTGACTTAGCATCCATCAACGGGTTGACCAGATTATGAAGTGGTGCTCAGAGAAGCCGTGTTGCTTTTCTTTGCAGGGGATTTTAGAACTGTAACATTTGGGGGGAGTTTTGATGAGGGGAGTTTCTTTTGGTTGCTGCCGACTGTGGCTGTCGGATGTTCTTTTCTTTCTTTCCTACCACTGTCTCGATTAAAGGTGCACGGACGCCATACAAACTGAATTTTGAGTGTGTGTTATTTGAAATGGTTATATTTAAAAAATGTCTCATAGATTACATTTTAAGATTACAAGTCATTCAAATTCTGAACAATTACCAAGCTACCGAGACCTCAAAATGAACTGCGTTTGATATTTCCTAAATTTGGCATCATCAATTGGTTTTCAACATAAAAGTAAAAATCACTGACCAAATGGCAGACCACTAGAACTTGCTATCACTACCAAACTGATAGATAGATTTGACACTAAACAGCAACTAAAGCAGTGACAAGAAGTTATTGTATTTGTTGGTTCCATTACATTGTAATTGTGCCTTTAGTTTATATGGTCAAAAAACAGGCCACAGCCCATTCTGGTTTCTGCCGATGTAGCATCAAAACTCCATGTTTTCAGCACTGGCTCATAAAAAAATGAATAAAATGCTGTCCGTATCGCGTGATCTCCTTTACAAAGTTGAACTGTTCTGTGATTTGGAGCCCGTTCTCTGTCTGAAAAGAAGCCAGCAGTCTCTCTTTGTCCACCTGGCCAGTGTTCCTCATTAAGCAGTAGAAACAGCACTTACAAGTAGCCTGAAAGCACATTAGCATCCTCTCAAAGACACAAACTCACAGCCTGTTCAATCCGTGGTGTTTTTGTGGAATCTCTCTATGTAGTCGCACAAAGAAACACAGACGCACCACCTACCTTAGTGATCTTGGGGTGGGTGCAGCGGCTGTTTCCAGAGGTGGCGTGCATCCATCCTCCGCCTTCCGCCAGCTGCAGCGGGAGGTGGAAATGTCCTCCACCGTTGCACTCCTGCCTGAGGGAGCACTTCCTGTCCTGGACGCACCAACCGCATTCAAACCTGGGGTCGGCCTTCAGGCACATGCCACAGCTGTCCCGCAACGCTCTGCACTTGTACAGGTGGGCTGGCCGGAGAGACAGAGAGTGGGAGAGAGACACGTGTTATGTGACTGGAGTTGTAATCATACAAACATTTCACTGAACAGCAGTTTGTCATAGCTCACGTTATCTAACTTGCAAACTAAGATGTTCATTGGCGACTCAGATCAATACATGAATGCACACAAAGGCTGTGACATTCATTTTTATATGGCCATGGCATGTATGGTGTTAGAAAATTAGCCTGCTAGCTTACCAGCTTGTGAAAAACAGCTGGTGAAGATGGCTAACTAGCTAGCTAACCCAGCTAATTTAGGAAAGCTTTTTCAGTTAGCAGCAAGCCTGCATTAGGACACAGAGGTATATTCCAGAGGAAAAGGAAAGTCACACCCTTGTTCTGCTCAAAGAGAGTTTATTTTATCATTATTTCATGTTTTAGCTTTTCAGAAAGAGCTATGAAAGAATCCCTCGATAAGAAAATACATGTAATTTGAAAGCTAGCGTAGCGGAGGCTAACTCAAGTGCCGTGGGAACTTGTGAGCTCCAGAGGTGCTGGTTGACATTTATTTACGTCTTTATTTTTTTTTACCTTTGCACAGAGTCAGGTTAGCTGTTTTTCCTATTTCCAATCGTTATGCTAAGCTACAGAGAAATAACTGGTTGTATCATCATATTAAGCATATCGATAAGACAGAGATCTCCTCACTTGACCCTCAGAAAAGAGTGCATAACAATATTTCCCAAAATGTTGAACATATTATTCATCTAACTGCACAGAAAACCTGTATCATGTTTCAAAACTGATTTTTCTTCCATTTTTCTACAACAGGCTGGAGTAGGCTACATGTTTATTAAGTCGTATGACGTAAATGCTGGAACTAGTCGCATTATTTTGGAAACTCTGCCTTTCGCATACTGCTTGAGAAATATTTGTTTGATGAACAGAAAGTTCTATAAACTGTTAATTTAAAAGAAAGCAAAGGTGGCAAGGGAAAAAAAGTAAAAAAAAGTAATCAGGAGTTTGTGTCTGTGAGCTTGAGAGAGAGAGAGAGAGAGAGAGAGAGAGAGAGAGAGAGAGAGAGAGAGACAGAGAGAATAAATGAATGTCAAACGCCTAAAACCTACAGTAGGTGATTACCACTACGAGGCTGTGACAGTGAGAAAATAACTGTTTCCACAGATAAACAGAGGGAAAAAAATGAACAAGCAACCTAGAGGGATATTATAGAAATTAATTCAACAGGTAATGTCTTCTAACGCCAATAGGGAATTGATAATTTGTTGTGTGAAAAAAAGAAAAATTCTCTCAACTCTATGGAGTGGAAAAAGTCATTAAAAGTAAAAAAAAAAAAAATGAATACATTAATAGATAAATAAATATTCAAAACTCAAACGCCTGAGAAGAGAGACGAGGGGGAGATGAAAGGCAGGGGGGAGGAGGTGGAGGATAAATTTTAGCTGCACTTGTTAACAAAACAGCAACACGAATTGTTGATGGTGAGGCCCCGCGAGGCCGAGAGAATCAGAGAAACAGATTAGAGCCGGAGAGAGAGGGAGAGAGGTTGAGAGAAACGAGACCAAAAGAATCTGCGTGACAAGTAAAAACAAGAGAGAGGAGAGAAAGTCACATGCAAAGAGAGAGAGAGAGGTGCAGGTAAAGGGACAGGTGTTTTTTTCTCTTCTTTTTGGTACCATTTGTACATCTGTTAAACTCTATCATTCTAATCTCAGTTGATACTATAATGCCAAAGCCTGCAGGCAGGTTTCTTTGCTGTCATACCTGTTAAACAGATTTGAAACGAACTGAGGTGAAAAAAAAAATGAAAAAAAAAAAGCTACAGAGCATGGAGGAATCTCCTCCTCCTCATCGGCAGACAGAAGGTGGCTGGACTTCAAAGCCAGCTTCTCACGTATCAATCTGCCCGCCACGGCCCTCCGCTCGGGCCTAATCTGATTAGCCACGGCTCAGTTTAAAAGTAGCTGCGGCGCTAATTAATCTGAACCAAATGAATGATTTAATTAACATTAACATCTCCACTTTACACCGGGGCAAAGCCGGGCCAGCGCCGGGCGGCTCTGCCTCAGACGGATAATACGGCTCCGACTCAGAGAGAGAAAGACGGGGATGGAGGCGAGAGGGATTAATAAGGGATGGAGAGGGAAGAAAGGAGGAGACGGTCTTTATAAGATTTGTATGAGTGAGGATGGTTTTATAATGTGTGTTTTTTTCAACACTAAGCATCGTATTGAAGTCAATCCTAATAGGTATTCTGTGAGGCTTTAGCACAAAACTCATCTAAGGGGGGTTTGATAGGGTTGTTGATTCAAACTTCAGTCTAAGTCGATCTTTGGCTTTGGGTGCTGCCCGCACAAATTCTCTGCCACCTAGAAAAGTGGAACAGCGAGCATAGCTTGCTCATAGTCTGAACAACAGGAGCATACTTGTCAAGTTCACACACGGCGCCTCTAAGATCATTGGATTTCACACTCCCAAACTCTCAACACCACTGCTGTCACATACAAAGCACTCACTCGTTTAAGGAGTTTGCTGGCTAACTCTGCAGTAAAACAACAACAACTCAAATGCCCTTAGTTCAGTTTAATCCTGATATATCCAGATACAAGCATCTGCACTGCCAAGATGCATCCTTAAGCCACGTTTCACACTATGATCTTTGAGATGTACAAAAAAAAAAGCTCTCCATATTTAGGGAGCAAAATCCCCTAAATTCCTCACCAGCTCAGGGGTTTTTACCTTAACTGTGAACTGTGTTTATTTCCAAAGTATCAACAGTGAGCTGGGAGGAAATTTGAGGATTTGGAGAAACAATAATGTGCACTTTTTCTCTGGAGGGTTCCTTGCGGTATGTTTGCGCCTGTCCGTGCATATCCAACATTTTCCAACCACTTAGACGTGGCTGGGCGGAGAAAAGTGAAAACAAGAAAATTGGCTTGTCCGCGCCGCCGTCCTTGCCGGAAAATTGTCAGGGGCTTAACAGTGCTGATGTCTTGCAGTCGAGTACAGCTGAGCCTGATGGTAATGCAGGATTTTGGTGATGAGCAAAAGTGTTGGACTAATAGAAAATGATGATGGCGCTACAAGTCAGGGGAAAGTCATTTAAGTCATTAGGATTCATCCTCTGGGGAACATGAATGTCTGTCGGTATTATGTGCTCAGAAGAGGAGCGATCATGAAGTCGTACGGACTGACAGGTAACTACTTTATTGGACAGTGTGGGTGATTGTCATCATGCATCGTCAGCGCCGCATGGTGAGCAGGAAGAAGACAAGTTGACAGCAACAAGTAGTTGCTACAGTTTACTTGGGAGCGGACTGGGAACCCAAACAATCTCTGTCCGGTTGTTTGACGTTACATCAGCGTTAAGGAACCAAACCAAATAGAGCACATGGAGAATGAAGGCACCCTCAGTAACTTAACCTCATGAAGTCGTGACACTTTATTATAAAAGGCTCCTCAAAAGACGAAGTGCTACTTAGTTTGGAGGAACGACATATTGAGCGGAACACTTTTTCAAAGTATTAACAGTAGTATATAATATGTATTTATTTGATAAATGTTTCTGTCTAAACCGTAATGTACAGAATTACTTGACTCACAAAACAGATACTAATATAGTACTGATACAGGGCTGTATTGATCAGTTGAGTGCTTTTCTGATTAGAGAACAGTCATTAACCGTGCAGTTCATCTACTTGATTGCACATAAATGTGATTATTTGTTTTGTCGTGGCCGCTACAATGATTCTCAGCGCGAGCTAAACTCAGGACTTTAATCCTCAGACGGGATCTTTCAGCACGGACAGACTGAAAATATCAAAAAAAGGAGCACATTTCAAACAAAACAACACAGGGAGGAGAATTGGGCCGTGACCGATAAGCGACTAATTTCCAAGCAATCTGCAAAAAAAACATAAAATAAAAAGAGAAGTGCACGTGGAACAGGTCACATGGAACACAAAGAGAGATTAAAACATGCACTGAAACGAACGGTGAACGGAACAGGAAGAAAAGCAGGAGAGAATACAGTAGGAAGGGTTTTAGTTAATCAGACTCCAGACTTGCAAAACACTGTACGACACACTCGAGAGCAAGACTCACATTATCTGGTGCATTGGGACGTCTAAAGTCATTAGCCTCCACCACCCAATGTATTACACTTGATAAAGAATTTAGAATTGGTAATTGTTTTCCACTTCATGCACAAATAGCAATTAAAAATAATAAATGCCATCCTTCCGTGTCGCTTTCTGTTCTTCTTTATCAATCCCTGTATTCAAACCCCCCCCCTCCCCATTACATGCTGCATTTATCAACCTGTCATCCAGCGTTCTTCCCTTCTTCTGCCAATTGGTTTCGCCATTTGTTTATCTTCCCCTCTAACATCCATCCCTATTAATTTCCTTGTTGGATGTTTGTTTGTTATCATCGCCGTCCATCAATCACTCCCTCCTGCCTCTCTTTTATCCCACGAGACAAGAAGAATTGTGTTTTTTGTTTTTCAAACGGATGGTACACTTTCACCTCTCTCCCTGATGGCTGTCAAAACTGAAATTACAAATTTCTGATGAAGGGGGGGGGGACTGCACAACAGTTGTTGCTTCACAGAAAATCATTACATACAGATAAACAAGCGAGGTCGATTCACATTATTATCTTTTTTTTCTCCACCGAAATGAGAGAGAGAGAGACAGAGAGAGAGAGAGAGAGAGAGAGAGAGAAAGAGCGACAGAGAGAGAGAGAGAGAAAGAGAGAGACAGAGAGAGAGAGAGAGAGAGAGAGAGAGAGAGAGAGAGGGACAGAGAGAGAGAGAGGGACAGAGAGAGAGAGAGAGAGAGAAAGAGAGACAGAGAGAGAGAGAGAGAGAGAGAGAGAGAGAGAGAGAGAGAGAGAGAGAGACAGAGAGAGAGAGAAAGAGAGACAGAGAGAGAGAGAAAGAGAGACAGAGAGAGAGAGAAAGAGAGACAGAGAGAGAGAGAGAGAGAGAAAGCTCTACCTTGAATGTTGAACGGGTTGTCGATCACGAAGTTTCCATTCCACACCACGGAGAGGTCGACCGGTAGGTCACTGATGTCACCGCCCTCGTAGTCGTACTGAGACACACAGAGAAACAGAGAGTCGGTGTGAGGAGACGTTAATTGATAATGGATCCGATGCACACTGGGAATTGCGTGAGGTATCGTATCTTTTGCAAAGTGACTCGCCACCGGCTTGCTCATCGCAGACGAGCATGCACAAATCCTTATTCGCCACAACAGACGTTTTCTTTCCCAGAAATACACACAGAGAAATAACAGATGGGTTACAGCTGAACAGGCATGGGCAAAGGGAGACAGGGACGGGGGAAGGGAGGAGAGGAGGTGAGGCGGGGTGGAGGGAGAGAAGATGAGATTGGAGGAAGAAGCAGGAGGAGGAGGAGAAACGGTCAGAGAGGTGAAAGCGGACAGGAATCAGACAGTGGTAGACGTGAGAGAGGACCTTATTCATTTACGCATGAGCTAAGTGGTGGGATGAGGGTGAGCGAGAGAGAAGATGCGGAGCAGCGTAAAGTGAAATTGGCATTTCCAATTTGCTCCCTGACACACTGGATTTGATAGACGGGACTCGACCATCCCATATGGGCAATGGGGCCTGAGACACGCACACACACGCACACAGACACACACCTATAATGCGGTCAAAACTTTCCTCCACTCTTCTCTGATTTATTACCATGACTCAAATATCACGCAGTGTGAATCCCATATTCATACCTGAGGATGTTGTTATGTGTGTAGATAAAGTCGGGCTGTTGTTGTCTTCCCACACACAAGTTATAGACGCAATGTGTCAGATTTAACGGTGGCAAATAGCACAGATGTTGCAGATTGAAGCCAAAAGTTCCGCTCAGCCCTCCTGGGAGAACTACGGTGGCCTTCAGGTAACAAAAAAAAAAAAGTGTGAAACCACCAAAACCTTTATGGCAGCAGCAATAACCTTTATCGCTTCTTTTGCAAGGCTGTAACACAGATTTGCAGACATGGATTCTGTTAAGCCGCTGCTGATGGTCTGAAAGGGTGGGCCCTGTTAAAACGGGTTGCCTGAATACCAGCAAAGCAGATACGCTACTGATATGGATGTTAACCGCTATCAAAGCAAAGACGCGCTGTTATTTCAGATCAGTAATGGGTTCAGTTCAAGCCTCGAGGAGGCCTCGGGGAGAAGGCCATGATATAAAGGGGCGAACAGAAGAAAGAAAAGAGCACAAACAAGTGGGGCAAAAGAAAAATAGGAGACATTGTAAGCGGCCACAGAGGAAGGAATGTGGGAAGTCTGGATCTCTATTGAGACCATTCAGAAGCTGAGAGGAGCACAGACCATTGGAACCACAGGATTCTGGGAGGTCAGCAGCACAGGGATTCAACCAAAACACTCTTTTGCCACAAAGGAAAAGCTGAACGGGCTTATTCCGTACCCACTAGTTCAGCGTGACCATGATCCATCACACATGAGGTAGGCCGCTGACTTTATTAGCATCACCATTACGCCCCACTGTTTAAAGGCCTGTGTACGGCAGCTCCCAGGCCCAGTGAAACCACAGGCTCTCCACACACACACACACACTCCTCTCTGCGGCGTGTCTCCCATTAAACTTTAAGGGTTCTGACTTGTTTGCCGTCACCAAGACACTGGGTGAGCTTGTTCTCTCGTCAGTCCCCCCACCCTGCTGCTCGCCACATCATGCTTTATTCATGCTGTCACATAGTTTGAAGCGCCGACCCAAAACCACACTGTGACACCGCGCTGCCCGGTCACGCTGAGCAATCGCCCACTGACTCACTTCCCCCGGGGGACACTTTGGAGTTAAAAGACGGGTTTTAGGGCCAGTTTTATACTGAAAAATAAGGAGGACACACGGAGAGGGAGTCAGGAGAGGAGAGAAGAGAAGAGGCAGCAGAAGGAGAAAGAACTTCAGGAGAGCACACAAGACAACGCTACACTGAGGTGTGACATTGAACTAGCGATGTGTAAAACTTTTCTATAAGATCCCAGTTTGATCTTGTTTTAGTCATTATAAAAAAGGAGACATAAGTTAATACGACAAAGAGTCAAACTAACATTCTCACAATGACAACATTTCCAGTGTCTTAGTTCTGCGTGGTAGCATGCTAACATTTACCAATTAGCAAGCAAATGCAAAAAAAGCTACAGCTGAGGCTGATGGGAATGACATTCGCTTTGCAGGAGAGACTGACATTTTAACCTGATGACGGTGCTTGATGTAAAGTCTGCATAATCAAAAAAGTTATGACAATTTATCCTAACGGGGAAAGTACACAAACTTTTAAGGCAATCAATCCAATAGTAGTCGAGACATTTCCCTCGAAACCAAAAATGTCAACCTCATGGTGGCGCTAGAGGAAAAGTCAAGAGATCACCAGAGTCCATTGGCTTCATCGTTTGGGGGTCAGGAATGTCCGTAGGAAATTCCATGCATTTCGACGGATCCCTCAAACATTGGGATATTACAACGTGGCCCCACCGTGCCTGACATCTACAGCCATGTCGCTGGCTGGAACCTCATCTAAAGAGTATTAAAGCCACATCGGGGGAGCGTCTCTTTAAGCCGACACTTAAATAATGCATCACACCGGTCTCGTCAGGCACCGGTTATATACTCTACTCTGACCTCTGAAATTTGAAAATTCTTCTCTGATGAGATTTAGAAGTGCGGGTGGCACCCGACGTCGCTTTGCCACGACTTCGGGGTTCAGTTAACACGGACAATGCGTCTTCTCAATGGAAGTATGCTTGCAGTCTTTTTGATGGAAGGAAGTCTCGTTTAGACAGTCACCTTTTGAAAACATGAAGTGTGGCATGAAAGTACATCTAATTATGGGACAGGGCTGAAGCCATCACCTCTACTTGAAGCTGTCTTTACCAAATGGCAACATTTTGAAGGATCTGTGTTTGAATATGAAGTGAGGACTAACTCAGACTGAGACACTTTGAATTGAGAAGTGGGTATGCTGAAACAAAAGCGTTTAAATGCATTCAATACAGTAAACATACACAAGACATACACATTAAAAAGCTTGTTTTAAAACTGAAACCGCCACAGGAAACAAGGCGTATTTATCACGCATACTGCGCTTTCTTAACATGTTTACTTCCAGAAAGTCTCTGGCCATGTGTGTGAAAGTGCAGTATGACTATGATGTGCTGTTCTTCCTGTATCTCTGGAGCTCCAAAGGATTCAACCAACACACTGACATGTTATCTAACTGTAACTAATCAGCATTTATTTGCGAAGATTATGTCTAATGTCTGACCCCCAAAAAAATATTTACTTCATTCTACAAATCCTTTGCAGTTTCAGCTCACTGTTGCTTTGACTCACGGGCTGAAAGCATCTGGACACTTTGCACCTTAAATCATCTTTTTTCGGCTTAATGAGAAACTGTTGCTGTCTTGTGTTTGTGTGATTTATTATCCGTGCTCATGTTTCCCCACATTTCCTGCATCTAATTAAGTTTTCTTTTGTCCCTGGGTATATCTCTTTAGCCACCGTGGGACTGTCTTCCGTAGGCGTTCCTCCCGGGGTACTGGTGAAGATGTTTGGATGTTAGGCCTGCACCTTGATCGATTACAGCTATGAACATACATGTGATCAGGTATTGAAGACACACACAGCTTCTGGTGCAAACACTCTCTCTTGGGTAAATGTTTTTTCTCATTGAACAGCTATTGACTATCGGCATGTCACTGACTCTTGGCAGAGCTCTGATCTAAAAGCAGTGGCACCATTGCTGTTAAAAACTCTGTATTGGTGGAACCCTGTGGGTAAAAGTTGCTCCCCCCCCCCCCCCGAGCGGCCTCTCTGCTGGCCTGCCGTCCTGACTTCCCTCCCCTGAGCGCCCAGAGCTGCTGGAGATGAGTAATCAGACTCATTACTGAAGCCTCTGGCCAGCTCCTCCATGTCGCTGCATGTAATTAATCTACCTGCGCCAACTCATAGTGAAGCCCCCCACCCCATCCCCCCAGGGAAGAGAGAGGAGAGGAGAGGAAAAGAGGAAGTTAGGTAGAGGAAAGGGTAGGAGGAAAAAGGGGAGGATACGGTAGATAAAAGTTGGGTGAATGCAAGTGGAGGACAGCTAGAGAGCAGATAAGTGGGAAGTGAGAGGAGTGGAAGTTTTGGGAAAGAGGGAGAGGAGACTAGAGGAGGGGAAAGAGAGGAGAGGCAATGGGAGGAAAAGAGGGGAGACAGGAAGAGGGAGAGAAAGGAGTAGAGCACAGGGGGAGGAAGAAGAGAATAAACAAGGAGGCGATGAGGGAGGAGAGAGGTACAGGGACAAGGGGGGGGGGACAAAGGGAGAGAGGGAGGCGAGGTGACACGGGGAGACAGAAAAAAAAAGGAGAGGGAGGGGAGGAGGTGTGAAAAAAACTACAAGGTGAGCACAAAGCCGTCCCTGGCCTCATTACAGTAACACACCAGCCTGGCTCGGGTTCATTCGTTATCTGCTCCCGCACTCGTTTATTCTCTCGCAACATGAATCGTCTCCATGGATCGCGTGTCCCCATGGATTATATGAATAGATATGGCCCTTGTGTGTGTGTGTGTGTGTGTGTGTGTGTGTGTGTGTGTGTGTGTGAGAGAGTGTCTGATGGACTGAAAACTGCCGATGTTAACAAAACAGAGCAGCTGGCTGGTGAGGAGGGGGAGAAGGTAAGAAAAAACGAGAGGTGCACATATGTGTGTGCAGGTCATCCGCATGTAATTAGTCATGTTGAAGGATACCTGAGTGTGTGTTAAAAATACACTGCTCACACACACACACACGCACAAGTTCAGTTCAATTCCATTCAGTTCAAACTATTTTGCATGTTTAATGACAATTTTTGTTCGCACTAAATGAAAAAACAACAATGTTCAAGTAATTAAACTAGAGTTGCTGCCCTGCTGTTTATTTCCTCAGCTCACAGTCATGTTGCAGTTTACATCTTTGAGTCCAGGTGGACGTTCGTGCCAAATTTGGAGAAATCTGCCCACCGATTAACAACATGTCAATGACATTACATGTTTTAAATTCACTTAGTTTTAGTTGCTGTCCTC